GGTACCTTAATCACTATGTTTCAATTTTTAGTAGGCATTCTTGCATTTTATTTTTAAAAAATGATATTTTTTACGATGTCATATAACATAACTCATTATGTGCCACATAATCTAATTTTTTACGCGAGTGTCACCAAAGAGAAGGATTAGAGAGCTTGAGGTGAAGAAGGGGAGAATGAGAGTAAAGAAGAGGAAATGTTGAAGGAAAGTGAAATTGATAAGAGATTAGGGTTTGAGTATTTTATTTATTTATGCTTTTAGGATTAAAAAATTAAAAATTAAAAATTAATTTTTAAGTAATCTAATAAAAAATGAATAAAAAAAGTTCAGATCATTTCGGATGATCCTATCCACCCGTGATCTGACTCATTTAGGTTTGGATAATTTCAGTCCGGGTCATTTCGAATTTTAAATTAATACATATGACCCATGACCCTACCCATAACGGATGGATTGGATCGGATTTTCGAATTAGTTTCAATTTTGCCAGTCTATATATATATAACAAATTATATATATATTTTTTGGAAGATTTGAAGTCAAATTAAGGGTGCACCATTTCCTATGATTTGTAGTCTTTTTTTTTTTTTTTTACAAGGGTAATGGTTAAGAAGTTAGTGAGTTAATTGTTAGCAACTGGTTCTCGACTGGATAAATATTCCACCCTCTCAAATGAGGCGCGCGGCCATCAAGTCACTTTTTAGTAGAATTCACGACGGTTGTGAAACTCGAAACTCCGACCACCTCACCCAAACACTTAAAAGCTTGGGGTCGAACCATTGGGCCGCAAGACCCTTTTCAATTTATTGTCATTTGATTTAAAAGGCCAGCTGCGGGAGTTATCTGTATATATTTTGTTGTTTTCTGTTTGACTCATTCTAATCTTAAAGCTTTGGATTCTGCCCAGTAATTTGGGTTTATGTCTTTTGTGGCAAGAGTTGACTGCGCTTATCACGACCGACCTTGTTTGTTAGGCCCCAATGCATGATATACGTGGAAGGAGTTGGGATGCCACCTTAAAACCCAAACATAAGCAGTTAAATTCATAAAACCTTCATTTTTTTTAGGACTTCCTTAATTTGTTATCAGCCAAAGAAGACATAAATTTTACTTAATTATATATATATTTTTGAATAAAATGTGAATTTTATTTATCCTAGTTATATTTTTTTATTTATATATAACTTTAGTTAAAGGTAAATTATTTATATTACACTATTATTAATTGTGACTTAGTAATAAAGTATCTATATTTTTAACTACAAGTTTAAAAATTAATCTATACAATCTTTGTATATCAAAAAAATCTTGTGCACTAATAAAAGATTCATAAAAAATTATCTCTTTTTAACCAAACCTTTAAACATAACTTAAAGATTTTACTTTTAACTTTTTGGATTGAAAAACACACCACTACAATCTGATTTTGGTTTATTTTATCTTCTAATAATTATTGTAAGTAATAAAATTCATAAAATTCATACAAATGAATTTTCAAAAAAGAAAAAGTGTTTGCTGTATGAATCCAGATAGCAGAAACTAAAAATCAAAGACAAATATATCTGAAATTCTAAACTTAAATCTCAACACAATATTCATCATATATGAGGCTTGTTGGACTTTTCTCCAGTCAACTTTTAATTGCATTACGGAATTTGAAGCTTTGTATCTTTACTTGGGATTTAAGCTTTCTGGGCAAAGAGATTATTATTTTTTTTTTGAAAGGCAAAAAGGATTTTATTTTTTAGTACAAGAATACACAAACCCATTTATATAAAAAAGGCATACTCTGATTCAAACGTTGCCTTGCCAATTGATGGCATCTTGTATGGTCCCTTAAGAGATTTTACAACCGTTGGGATTTAGTATCCAATCTGAAAAAGTAAAACTTCCTCCTTTCCCAATATCTTTTATCCACAAAAAAGACCTCACTTGTATTTGATCCAACATCCAATCCATCTTCCAGTGTTCACTATGTCAACGCACCTGCTACCAAAAGGTTTGACTCTTTCTTTAGATAAAATTCGTAAGAATTTTCTATGGGGGGGGGAGGGGAGGGTAAGAGGAGAATTAACTGGGTTTCATGGGACAATGTGTGTAAAAGCAAAATGGAAGGTGGATTAGGGGTCAAAGACCTTAGAAAGTTCAATCTAGCATTGTTGGGAAAGTGGTGGAGTAAACTGGCTAGTGGGGAAGAAGGCTTTCTATATAGATTTATTAATCATAAATATGGGTGTGCAGAGGGTAGGTGGATTGATTGGATGCAGGAGTCGGGTCATAAGGGATCTTTATGGTGGAGGAACATATGTAGGTTAGACCACATTGATATTAAAAATGAGGGATGGATATTAGGGGGATTCAAATTGAAAGTAGGTGAGGGGAATTCTATCAAATTTTGGAAGGATGCATGGATAGGGGATCAACCCCTTACTAACCAATTTCCTAGATTGTTTCTTGTTTCAACAGACAAAGAAAGAGGATCTCCCAAATGGGTATATGGAGAGGAAAAAACTGACAATGGACACTACATTGGAGACGATCTTTGTATGAGTGGGAAGAAGACAATTTATCGAAGTTGCAAAGATAAATCATGAACACACACCCAACCAAAGATGAAAAAGATTGCTGGAATTGGAGGCACACTAAAGAAGGAGAATATTATGTCAAAACAACATATGCCCTGCTTTCCAGTAACAGCCAGGACAATAGATCTCGGATGCATGAAAGGACTTGGAGCAAACTTATCCCCACAAAAATCAGTGCATTTGGGTGGCAATTATTGCAAGACAGAATTCCTACGAAGCATAATCTTTATAAGAGGGGAATTATAACCGATCCTAATCAATTGATGTGTCGATTTTTTGGGGATAACATCGAAGATTCCAATCATCTTTTCCTCCATTGTAGAGTTGCTTTTTTGGTAAGGAGCAAATGTGCACAATGGTGGAGGTTCATTTCAGTTCAGCCGAAGACTTGCCATGAGGATTTTGAGCAACACAAGCCCCCTACTAAAGATCCTGCAGTGAGAGTTGGCTGGGACGTGATATGGTTTTCCACTATATGGTCTTTGTGGATGGCAAGGAATG